ATTTATATAAATTATAAATTTTCACTTACTTAAATTTGTAGTATTTAACTAAGTAAATGTCAAATACCTGTAATCCAGGAAACATGAGAAGAATATGTGCGTGAAAGCCAATTAGGCGAAACAGCATTATGTAAACCCAAGGCATAAAGACCAATTTGAAAGGCACACATGTGAAGAGCTCGATGAGGACCACGATGGTTTTGGCCAGCAGAAGGTTGAGTAAACAGAACTGCCGTACTGCTATTACCTCCAGCTTTAGTAAGGACAGTCTTTGCTAATTCAAACATGAAATGAGCTGATGCTTCACTTGGTTGATTGGGAACGTTTGGATAAGATCTTTTTCCCTTAAACCTATTATGCATAAAAAAAAAATAGATTTAAAATAATAATTATATATCAATAACACTTGATAACAATATATTATACTACTAAAAATTAGAAAAAAAAACAATTTACTCAATATTTTTTATATACAGTTAAAGAAAATATATAATCATTTGCCTATTCTGAATTCAATGTTTTATAATACTAAATACATAATCCTTATTGTTCTTTGCTTTGTATCTACTAGAATTTGTTGACATCTTTATAAGTTACTCAATCCACTTTTACCTAGGTTTGTCATAATGTAATAATCATTACAGTTATTTTGACTTATTTTTAACATCATTAAACTATTTTTTCTTTAATCTTCGGAAACCGTGTTTTCTAATTTCTTTGATTCATTTAACACAAGATGTGTTACAATTTCAAAACTTGTCGATATTCCATCTATATTTAGTTGATATTTAGTTGATCAACTAAATAAAGATGGAATATTGCCAAGTGTTGAAATTGTAACACATCTTGTGTTAAATGAATCAAAGAAATCATTAAACTAAATTCCAAACTTTTATGTTACGATGTTAATGTTACAGAGTGTTATTTTGATAGTTTAAAATTATGATATAATTTATGTTTTAAAAATTTAAGTAGGATAAGGGTGCCTATTGCTGATGACCACTTCTGCTAGTCAACCACATAAGCTGAAATCCATGTGTAATTAATCCATTGGAGCAGCTTTAGATAAACCATCTTCACGAGAAGCATCATAAGATAACCCCCTTCTCAATGGCATGTAAGAATAACAGTTTGCATCAATTGTTACTCAATACCTCTTCTAGTAGTTGATCACATAGTGAGACATTGTCGTCATTAGAAGATAAGGAGGGTTCTGTGTTTTGGGTGAGTATTTTCTACAAAATGCCTATTATCAAGCTCGCTGATCTTTTCAGTTGTCACACTTGTGAGGTTCTTGATGAAAAAACCCAATCATCGACTGCCATAAACAATTATGCAACTCACTGGTTAACTACTGGGTAAACAGCCTGTGATTATTATTTTTTTCATAATGTAAACAAAGGTCTAATAAAAAAATGTTTCTTTTTCCAAGAAAAGTATAGAACAAATTTTATTTTCACACATGGATTTTGCTTTTCATGTTACTATATGTTGTAATAAAAAATATCAAAGTCCAAAACAACTTTAAACGGTTGACTACTGATGCCATTACCTATAAGACATATTGTAAGTTTGCAAAATATATGAGTTGATCCCTTGAAGTATGATCTTGCAAAATATATGACTTAGAATTTAAACTTATTATGGTATAATTTCAAGTATATATAAAAATTAAAGATGACAAAACCACATCAAAAATTGATTGGCATGATGGAAGAAGACAGCACAACATGCAGATCATCTGCCAAGGAGACGGTGCCTCCTAAGAGAATTTTCTATGGGGAAACTGGTCTCTATTTAGTGTTACACAACTGAAGAAAACATGGAAAATTCCACACAACCAGCCTGTTGGTCAGGTATAAACCCATAATTCATAAGTAGTCAGAAGTGTTATCCATTTAGCCACTGCTGGACCATGACATCAATTGGATTATTTTTAAAGAAAACTTCATTAAAGCAAAGCTGAGTTTATCATTTATTCATAAGTTATTAAAATTACAGTATATTCTTACACTTGTCATATGTTTTTGCTACAAACAAAGATTTTTCTTGGAATTTTACCACAGACCTTTCTAACAAACATGAAAAAATAAAATCCATTTTTAAAATAAATAGATTCAATGATGCATTAGAATAAAAAAAAACATAGTATCTGCTTGAGAACAGCTTGAAAAATAGATAAATGAATGTCATTGAAAAAAACTGGATGGTTGTAATTTGAATTTGTTTGTTTTTTTTTGTTATAAATTATTCCTTACAAAACAACAACAACAACACAATACATTTGTCTCTCATTGTAACTTATTTTCTATTGTTGGACATTACAATATTATAAGAAGAATTCTTTCTCTCTTATTTTTTATAATAAATAAATGATCAATACAAATATAAACTAATCAAGTATCACTTTTTTTTTAATACAATTTTATATTTAATACATCATATCATATATATAACACTTCAGATTAAAATTCAACAATTATATTGGATATATTATTGTGTCTGATATAATAAAAATTCATTTCTTTCCACTAAATACACATTTTATAAAATTACCTGGCAACTTTTGTAGATGGGGTTCCTGAACGAGCCATTCCTTCCGAAGAAAAACGTGTTGTCAAAATGACTTGTGGCAAACTGAAACATAAAAAGTTTTAATTAAAATAAAAATAAACAATGATCTCAGAACAAAACCTAAAATCTATTAATTAAGATTGAATAAATTGCATATGTCACACTGATTAATATTTTTGAGACAATTTCTTTTCTACTTTCATTAATTACACAAATAATTTTCAAATTTTTAAAAAATGGAATAGTTAGTAATTATGAAGTAAAAATGTGAAAATCATTTACTTCTAAGTAACATATTTCATTATTTTCAAAGCTCACATATAAGCTGAAGCAAACTAATTAAAAATGAATAACGGAAAATAATGAAAAAATTGTGTAAAGAGCAAAATGCATTTTTGTTATATTATTATATTATTTAACAAAATAAAAGATATTGATGTTTCTAGTTCTAGACATAGATTCAAAACTTACAAATATTAGTTTTATAATTTATAATAATTTATATTATTAGTAATTTGATGTAAATTAAACTCCTAAACCTCTCATATCTTATTCTGCTTACAAGAAAAAAAAGTGCATATAGAGTATGATTTGCAAAATGCCCACTGCAACTTTACTTTTTGTATGTCACCTGAGAGTTTTCACTTAATATTTGCTACTTCAACTAAGCAAATTTTCTTTAATAAGAAATAAAAATTTTTACCATTTTATTTATGAAAAAAATCTAAATAATTTTTCAATAACTTAATAAAATTAAATCATGTAAGAGTCATAATCACAATTGTATATTTAATATTTAAATACTGTGGATATTATCCAAAACTTACAGTAGTTGAAGTATGTTAAATATTTAAATGTTGGATTTTCTCAGGCTATACTTAGTCAAGACCTCAGAAAATTAGGCACTTTGATACTTGGTTAACAAAATTTGGGCTTGTTATTACAGTCGACCCCCCTATAATTACGGTTCCTATAATTACGATTCCTATAAAACTACGAAAAAATATACGTATTTTGGAAATGTTGAGTCGGATTAGTGTAGAATCGATTAATTTTATGAAAGAAAACCTTCCAATCAGCCGTAGTCCGTAAACTTGACACGTGTCGGGCTGTGATTGGAATGACTTGTAAGAAATCGGATTCCTAATAAATTGGAACGTATCTATATCTTATAGGGGGGTCAACTGTATATATTTGTATATTAAAGTATTAATAAAATAAAGGCAAAATCAGAAAACTAATAACAAATGATAAACAATAATCATATTCTTTAAATATAATTTCATTAACATAGCTTTATTACACTGGCATGCAAATAATGCAATTTTTAAGCAGGTAGTCATGAAATTATAGAAAATAGCTTGTTGTGATCAGTACAATGAACACCCAATTCAGTAGAAAGGTGATTCACATGCAAATATCAGGGAGAAGACATCACAGGTGACATGAGGACATGCAAAATGCATGCAGTCAATGCACACAGTGAAAGATTACAATAAAATGGACAAAAGGTGCTATTAAAGACATTCACTGCAAGTTCAAGTTCGTACATGCAATATGGCTAGAAGAAACCATCTAGATGACTTTACACATGATAAAATGATTTCCAGGTGATTTCTTGCAGAGTTATGGCAAAAAAATAATTGTTGCTTAAGTTTTTGAAAATTATTATGGTTAAATATAATGTAAAACTTTTTCAAATAATAAAATACCTTTCAGTTTCTCTTGCTTTTGTTCGTGGCACTTTATCGTCAGATGAACTTGATGCAAAAGAATCGCTACTTTCGCCACTACTACCACTATCACTACCTGGTCCTCCAGATTTGACCCAGGTACTTCTTCTTACTACTGTAGGAGAATTATCACTAGAAGTTGTTTCTGGAGCACTGCTATCTATGCTGGCCATTCCTATTATTATTAATAATAAGAAAATAAGTAATCTTTTTAAAATGAAAAACTCAAGATTATTTAATTGAATTTTTCATTCATTGGAACTTTTTATTTTGTTAAAATATTTTTATTCTAATAAACAATTTAAAAAATTAGAGTTTCATTAGAAAACAAAAAACTTTTTCCCTGTAGCTTAGTTATTAAAACATCCAGCATGTTAAATTATATCAGGATTTTTTTTTTAAATGTTCTTTGAATGGACACATGGTTAACACTATGGTGTTTACTTTGGTGTTACTTATTTATCAGATTAATGAACTTTATGATTTGTTAAAACAATTTACATTATTTTGATACAACTTGTTTTTCTGAAACATTTCATGCTATTATCAGAAACATAAGTTCCAAAGTTCCTGTATATGTTTTAAATCACTATCTTCCTTTATTGAATCTTCATAACAAACCTAAATGCTTTTACAATAATTACAGCTTATTAGTTTTACTAAGAACATCTGAACCAGATTCAAAAAGTGCTAGATTTTTCTGTTTTCAGGATTTTTTTTCATTTTCAAGAACATAACATAAAAAAAATAAAATACTGTATAACAATAACAATAAGAATACAAATTTTGAAAATTCTAATTTTATTCTCACTATTAAGAATTTATTGTGACATACAACTTCAAAATTAACAGTGAAGTCTAAAAGTGTCTAAATTAGTGTTGCAACGAATAGTATATTCGGCCTCAGGCCGAATACCGAATATTCGGCCAAACTATTCGGCTTGATTAACGCACGTACAAAAATTGGTGCACAAACCGCATTATGGCAAGGATCCTGCTCTCTATTGGCCTGCTGTCACTACACTTCGCCAATTGCGTTCATTCTTGGCAGTTGTAGCGGACAGACAAGAGTGTCATGGAAGTATGTGATAAATGATGATATCAAATGTGGATAACAATGAAATGACCTACACGTGTAAATAACGGAAAAAGAACAGAGAAGGACCGCGAAGTGAAAATGTGAAAATAAATATGAAATTGAGTTGATAACATAATCGAACAAGTTGAAGCAGCTTATTGGAGCGAAATTTGCGGTCGTCAATGCCAAACAATTGTTGTCATAGACTTTGGAAAGCTAAATGCTTGTAATGAAAGTCACTTAGCGTGCACGGGCGAAAGCCTGGGGCCGTTCGGGCTACCAAGCTGTCTCGAATCTGTAAAATCATAACTGTGACTTAATTTGACGTCCTATCTGTCTCTTTTCTCCACTATCACCAGGCTATGAGTGACGTAATTATAAAATGGAAAAACTACGACAGAAAAGTGATGAATCGAAAGTATCGTGAGCGTGTATTATGATTTATGCACAGGCATACGTGAACTTGAGCGATAGAGGAAAGAGAAAGGAAAGAGTAAAGACAAGCGCTTAAAAAAGAAGGATAGGCAGGGTCAGTCCTCAGATATGCGACGATTCTCGAACGAATAGGTGTGTACAGTACGTGTGCTGATCTTTGTAATTATAAATTGTGAATACATGTGACTAATATTATTATTTTTTTTATTTTGTGCATGTTATAGGTTATAAATAAATATAAACAAACAACACTAACCCGACAACATTAAATCTAAATACCAAAATGATTAATTTACTGTGTTTTTGTTATTTCTTACTCCTGTTTTTAGGTATTCGGCCAAATAGTGAATATTCGGTATTCGGCTGAATAGCAAAAAATAGGCCGAATACCAAATAGTAACCGAATATTCGTTACATCACTAGTCTAAATATGTCATCACTGTTGTTTTATGTTTCAATAAGAAAATTTTTTGATTAAACAGCTGATACTAATTTAAAATATTTTAACTTTTTACTATGAATTAAAATATGTATTGTCATGGAACAAATAATGATTGATAATAAAATTCTTTTGCTCTTTATGCCTAGTGAGCACTAAGAGGACAAACTTATTCTTGAACTGATATGGATATAAGGATATAATATTAATTTGTATTTAGTAAGTGTGTGTTGTAGATAAGTGCAGATGTGCACACATTTGGCTACAACAGCATACATCATCAACAATATATGTTATGTAACTCTGTAAGCCATAAATTACTTTTTTAACAGCTGTTTATTGAGTGTTCAATAAGTGTTGGACTCTGAGCCAACTAATCTATTTGAAAAGCGAGCACTCAGATTCTGAATGCACCCTTTATTCTGATGAAGTTAGATGCCTCAAAAAACTTCTTTGCATTACACGCAATTCAAACTTTTCATACTCACAGTGTAAGAAGTCAAAGTCTGATCATTATTTTTTTTTTTTTTTTTTTGAGGATGGACACTTCTAAGAAACCCTCAACATGCTAAAATTCAAAAAAGACAAAAGATACTAATTTGCATCGGTGACTGATCCCGTGGTGTGTACATATGTAAATAGGGCAATGAGGAGCTACACTGAGAACCAGACAAAAGAACATGTCTGTCCAGCTGTGTGGTGCAGCTCCCACAGCAACCTCTCTGGCATTCTTAATAAGCGATCAGTGTAAGGAAATGTATACTTTGTCTGAGTATTTTTTTTTGGAGGAAATTGGATTTGATTTTGATTTGATTTGATATATATGAAAAAAGACTTTCTTTGATTAATTGTTTATTTTTGTTACTTGAATTTTGAATATTTGAAATATATATTAACTCTTGTTATAATTAATCATTGTTGTTATTTATTTCATTACTGCTTAATTTAATAAATATTTGTGGATTTGTACTTATAAGTGTTTTGGATTAGTATATTTTGTTCCATAAAGTCCAGGCCTGGTACTTAACCTTTCAGCAGTGGGATAGTCAGGTATGGTGCTACCCCAAAGTAGTAGGAATAAACGTGGGAAATTTTTAAAGTACTTTTCCATGTGTTTTTTTCTCATTACTGTTTTGGAAAAAGATTTAGTAAAGAAAAGTCTTTTTTTATTGTTACACAATTCACTTTTTATGTGAATTTTTTCCACAGTAGTTTTTGGAGATACCCCCAAAAGAATTTAACAGATATATCTGTTCCTCACCACTGCCACACGATAAACCTGGACGGATATATCCATCCCTCACTGTTGAGTGGTTATATTGGACAGTAACTTGTGTAACCCACCTTTTGTGTTGCTTGGTACGTTACAACTGTATCAATTAATGACTTATCTTGAATAAAAGTAGTTAACATTAACACAGAGTAGCAATTTCCATAAAACTCTGTTTTTCAAATCCATGAAAATTCCAAATTTTCAAGTTTTCCATGATTGCTATAAACCCTAGTTATGAAACACTTGAAAAGAAATCATATCCAGATTAGATATTTTACATGCTATTAAAGGCACTTGTGTCAAAGATTATTAAATTTTGATATTCTTATGCTTAAATGCATTCAGATTATTACTATTATGACTACTGATAGAATTTTAATGAGCTGCAAAAGCTATATCTATTTTATATACAGTATGACAAATAGTACATATAGTACTTGATATCATTACTTCATTTAATAGCTTTGAGTTATACAATATATTATATAATAATATTCAAAAATTAGAAGTTTCTTTATATATACCTCTAGAATGCTTTTTTGTGGTCCTAAAGTTGGTACAACGAAATTTAGCTTCCCATGCTTTATAATCTTCTTCCCAACCTGGACTAGATGCTCCCTCACTACGGTCACCCATATCTTCATTTCCTCTAATAATAATAATAAATTATAATAATATATTATAATAGAAATTCTTAACATAAGTGCTCATGGTAAAGCAAGATATATAACACATTACTGTGATGTACAGTACATGAGATCTTTTTCTCTTTTTTCAAATAATACATTTTTTGTTTTCATTAACAGTTAAATATATGATTCTTCACACATTAAAATTATAGATAATTATATATTTTATCATTATTATAAAATCATCCTATTCTGCTATTATTCCATCAGTCAAATGGGCTGATAAATGCAGCATCTCCACCATTTTATTACATAAATAGCAAAGTTTATAAATCAAATTAATTAAAGAATTATGTTAAATATGTTATATCTATTTTATTAAAAGTTGGTATGATATACTTGAAATAATTTGGCAAGTAACTAAAACATAAAGAAAAACTGATGCTAGACTAGGTGTGGGCTAGGTTTTTTTTACAATTAAATGTTTTTTTGGGACAAAACTGTCCCTTCTCCAGATCTACATGTTTGAAAAAGAATGCCAAATGCTTCTTCAATATTCTATTTTCAAATGTATAGATCTGAATGTGAGATGATTCAGTCCTTAAATAAACTTTGACTCCTTTTATTCTACTGTCAGTTTCTCCCAGTTTTTCTAATGGAGTTGTTTAATGTGTGTAACTAAAAACATATTTTAATCAAATATTTAGCAACCTATAACAGTACTATTAAAATGTAATACCTGTGCATCTGCCAAACAGATCGCTTATTTCTGACATCTACTTCTTGTACAGATAAATTTGTCACTTGATTACTTTCAACATCAGGCATATTGAAATCTTCAGAAATACTAGCCTCAATATCTTCATTTTCTTGTGGACTTCCAATTTCAGGTGGACAAGTAAATTCTAATCCATGATCTTCATTACCCTGATTTGAGGATGTCTCTGTTGTCGACTGATTACAACTGCTATAATATGTGCTTAATGGTGGTGCTTTGTACATTTGATGGACATCTTTATCCAATAATTTATCCATTATCTAAAATAAAATACATAAAATAAGTAAATAAGTTCATGAAAATTTAGTATATTTAATTACCATTCAGAAAAAAGCAATACTTATAGCTTTTTATAATAAAATGGATATAATTTTATGCAAATGTAGGATTAATATAATGATAACATAATGCTATATCTATAATAGTTTATAAAAAAAAGGGCACCTAAAGCAATATTATTAGATATAAAAGTTTAATGTAAAATTTGCATTTTTTATTTATTCTTTATCAAGCTTCCACTTCTATGCATTTGTAGTTAGAACTATTTTAAGATGACCAAGACAAATCCTTTCTCACTTGTTTCTAGCCGTTTATACACGAGTACACACATTTTCAGCCTTCTTAGAGTGTACCTGAAGAAGGCCTATTAAGAAGGCTGAAAACGTGCGTACTCATGTATAAATGGCTAGAAACAAATGAGAAAGGTTTTGTCTTGTCATCAAGCTTCCTCTACTTAAAAACAGAAAAATCTCTTTTAAACAAATTTAAATTAAAATCTATTGTTTTTACAATTGCATGAATTCTATTAATTCCATTTCATTCAAATTAAATAATTAATACATTAAAACAAATAACAATTTTTTTTATATGAGAGAGGTGCAAGATTAAAACAACTTTACAGTATATTTTTTACTTTTCCATGGTTATTTAATTTAGTTTTCCAGTTGCAGTGTTTTGTGGTCTCTGCTTTCAATCTGTAATGATTCCCTTGTGAAAATTAAATCCTTCTTGTAACATATAGTCAATAGTTTGGGGTAAATCCTCTTGAAATACTAGCTTTGTCAATTCCCCATTATGTATTTCTGTTTTTGAAACATTATTTTTGTGTTCATTCACACAGCCTCAAATTGTTCTGGCAGTTGTACCTACGTAAAAGGTCTCTCTTAACTCCAATTTTATTAAAGGAATTTTATATATGCCCACTATCTAATGGTAATACTCTATCTCTATCATTGATGATAATTCTACCAGATACAGTGCTGAAATAATCATGTTTAAATCAAATATCTGTGTATACCTCATTATTCTAATTGGACAATTCCTATAAAAATCTTGTATAAATAATAGTTATAATTAGATAAACTGCAAAATGAATATAACTGTACCAGTAGAGACAGTTTGTAATGTTACTCAATACATTGATCAAATGCATGCTAGAAATATAAATTTTCTTGATATCCTGAAATTTATTAAATTCATGTCATTGCTTTTTCAGTTATTTAGATAAATTCCTTGTAAACAGAGACTATATAAAAACAATATAAATTCTAAAAATCAAGACAATTTAATTACTTTGAATTTTTAGAGCAACATCTGTCAACACATTTTTACTAGTATTCCTTACATTTAAACAAATAAATACCACTTAAATCTATTATCAGGAAAATTTGTAGTAGCATATATGAAACAAAGACAACTGTAAATAACAAAATGAATTTATTACCGAAAGTTGGGTACAAACATGGTTACTTTTCGACATAATCACTGCGAAGATTGAGGCATTTGTCATATTTGTGGATGAGCTTTGCAATCCCCTCTTCATAGAATGTTGCTGCCAGTGATTTGAGATAGGCCTTAACATTGTTTTGAAGATTGTCATTAGTCTCAAACCTCTGCCCTCCTAGCGATGTTTTCAGTTCAGAGAAGAGGTGAAAGTCTTCACATATTAAAGGTGTGTGAAGTCTTCCACCCAGCTTGGAACTTTTTAAACACCCAGTGTATAGCCAAGCAACTTCTACCTCTTTCCTGAACTGAAAACATGGCTAGGAGGTTTGAGACTAATGACAATCTTCAAAACAACGTTAAGGCCCATCTCAAGTCACTGGCAGCAACATTCTATGAAGAGGGGATTGCAAAACTTGTCCACAGATATGACAAATGCCTCAATCTTCACAATGACTATGTTGAAAAGTAATAGCATGTTTGTACCTAACTTTTGGTAATAAATTCATTTGGTTATTTATATTTGTTTTTGTTTTATGGACCATTGGAGGTTGAAAAAAACTGCCCTTATATATTATTGAATCAACAAAATATAGAAAATTATATAATACAACCATTTCACACCTGAAAATCCACAAATAAACCTGGAAAAATATAAACAGATTAAAAGAACATTAAAGCAAGTACAAGACAAATTGAAAAACTAAGTAAAACTTTAAACAAACAACTCTTCAAAAACCCAACACATTATAATAATAAGTCAACCATTGCTGTATGCCATTGGGCTATATAATGGCTACATTAATAATAAATTACCAAACAATTTGACCCTAGAGGGACCCTTAAAATTATAATTATTAAATTTATTAAAAAATGGCATCTAATGCCTCCATCTATAGTCAAATTGTTTGGTAATTTATTATTAATATAGCCATTACATAACCTGAAAGCATATGACAGTGGTTGGCTTTATTATAAAAACTTTAAAATTTTACTAAGCTCAAACAATAATTTGTAAGAGTACAGTTTACACATTATTGACAACTCAAATGATAACAACTCAAATAAAAAAAAATAATGTTACAAC